TTTTTCAGTGACTGAGAGCTTGAGTAGAGTTAGAAACAATATATGACTTTTTTTTTTTTTGGTACTGGGGATTGAACTCAGTTCCTTGTGCTTGCGGGGCAGGCAGCAGAACCACTGAACTAAATCCCTGGCCCAATATATGACCTTTTTATGGTGACTTAATGAAGATACTTTATAAGTAACTTCAGGGTTGGTTTCATATGTTTGCTATTTTTCTTTTCACAAAAATCTGGGTTTCCACAATATAAATTTCAACTCCTTAAATGGAGCCAATAATAGATATATAAAAAAGATTTTGTAGTTCAGATAATAAGCCTTCTTGGGCCTTAAATAGAATTAAATAATGATTGAACCAATGAAGTTTTCTGCTAATACATACCAGTAAGTATAAGAATAAAGATCAATGATCAATATAAAAATTCAAGGACATGGGGTGATAGTAGAGAGGAAAACATGATCTAATATTCTTTTGTCCTTCAAGTTAGTGTAAGACATTTTGGTACTAATAAAACATGACAGGAATTCCCTAATATGTATCTACTTTGCTTTTCCTTTGGGCTGAAGGTATATGTGTTACTGATGCTCTCAAGGCAAAGGTGTTCAAAGATGTCTTCTTGGAAATGAATATACCATATTCTGTTGTACGAGGGGAACAGATCCAATTGAAAGGAACTGTTTACAACTATCGAACTTCTGGGATGACGGTAAGTAGGTATTTAGGGTAAATTAGAATAAATGGGCACAAGGAAACATTTTCTGGTTTTCTGAAAATGATGTTAATGTAACTATCACACACAAAACAGTAAAAATTCAACTCAGTTAAGCATAAGAAATGAAGCATTTATGAGTATTGTACCAGCTGTGCTGTTTGATGTGTAGAAAGGAGGAAGAACTAAGACAAGTATTCATGTAACCTAGGCCTGAAGAAGAACAAAGTATATAAAATATTCACTGTGCTGTAGAGGTTCAGAGAAGTGAGTTCACATTCAGTTCACTGAACAGCTTTGAATTCCTTGGTCTTTTTGACACTAACAACCCTTTCCTTTCCTCCATGTTAACTATTTATACTCATCTTCACTTTGTGGACCTTGTCATTCTCTCCGATATCTTGATTTGAAACATTTCACTATCCAGTCAAACAGCCTCCTTCCTCTCCTTCGAACTCATTTCTCCCATTACTTCCATAGCTAAAACTCTGCAGCATCATGGAAATTTCTAACCCATTGACTCAAAAACTATTGTAATATCAATTAGTCCTCTGCTGTTATCACTTCTGTATATTGTTGGACAAAATACCTGACAATTGCAACTTAAAGAGAAGTTTGTTTTGGCTCACAGTTTTGGAGGTTTCAGTCCATGTTCGACTGGTTATAAGAAGAAACATCATGGTGAAAGAGTGTCGCAGAGGAAAGCTATTCAACTCCTAGTACATGGGAAGTGGAGAGCAGGGGAACAGTGCCAGAGAGGAAGGAGTCAGCAGCCAGATATAGTCCCCAAAGTCCTGCCTACATGACCGACCTAGACACACCCGCATGTGTGCTTTATTAATCTCCACGCTGTCTCTCACATCAATCAAGTTGTCAAGATTAACCATTGCTACTTTACACTGAGAATGAACCAACTATCATTTTAATCCCAGTGATTAAAATCATGTCAACTTCCTTGACCCTCTTTCACTTCAAGGTACGATCTATGAAAAGCTTCAACTGTGATAGGACCTGCTATTTGTCTTCTCTTTGTAGCACACCTTTAAAGAGTATTATACAATAGGCTAACTGACTTCACTTGAAAAACCATAATCACAAAACTTATATGGGAACCCAGTGAAGTCCAAAAATCTACCTATATATATATTTTTTTCCACTTTATTAAATTCTTTTATTGGTACATTGTAGGTATACAACACAATTACATTTCTCATTGGGAATTGTACCTTTACATAATGAATCTTGGTTCTTATTTTTTCCCCATTCCTAGCC